TTCCATCCAGACACCGTGGCCTCCTCGGGAGGTGCCCAAAGCCAGAACGTGACGCTTGCCTTTCAGGGGTTTAAATCGAATAGGCCGCATAGCTTGTGGTTAAGAGCACAGTTTAAATCCAGGCCCCAGGATGGCTGAGTTCATCTCTCTGTGCCTCAGTTTCCTCCTCTGCACCTGGGTATCCTTGAGGTTGTGGTGAGAATGAATGAGATGCCGCACCTGGGCTTGGAATAGGACTTGGTAAATGAGAGCAGCTCCCTAACCTCTTGCACTCTCAAAAGAACAGGCATCACTAAAGGAGGGCGGTGGGGCCTCTAGTTCCGGGTGTGGTGTGAGGGAAGGGGATGAGCTCCCTTCTCTCTCGGTGGGGTGTTGGGTGCTCTGAGTTTGTGCACAGGGTTTGACACGGCTGAAGACGTTTTTGCTACTCTTCCCATTAGCCTCATTGTTGGTACACTGATTCTTCCTTTCTCAGGGTCACCTTTGTCCTAACTGTGGTGACCCTTTTAAAAGATGAGCTCTGCTAAAAACTAACTTCCCTGTGTAAGATCCTGAAAGTCTCACCAGGTCCCTGGAAGGTCTCATGAAGACCCTGGAGTAATCCTATCACTGTTGTTTTGAGCTCTGTATCCGGTAGTTTTGCCTTCTTCCATCTTTCATTTGTGGCATATTTCTTTGTCTCCGCATTTTGACCGTTTCCTTGAGTTTGTTTCTGTGTTTTGGGTAGAGCTGCTATGTCTTCTGGAGTTGGTAGAATGGCCTTGTGTGGTAGGTGTCCTGTAGGGCCCAGGGGCTCAGCCTCCCCAGTCACCTGAGCTGGGCACTCTAGGTGGGCCCCTTTTTGGGCCATGTGCACAGTCTATTTGTAGTTAAGACTTGATTGCTGTTGGCGTCATTGGGAGGAATTAGTGCCTCCAGGGAGGTGCAAAGTCAGCCACTGCCTGGGGCCACCTGGCAGGAGCTACAGAGAGATCTGCAGCTTCCTTCTATTTGTATCGGGTTTGGAAGTGCCCAGATGAGGCCCAGCTGTGAAGTAAGAGGCTGTTGCTGGTACCTGGTCTTGGGCCTTTTATTGACAAGTTTGGGGCACGCTGACACCAGCTGCAGCTTTTTGATAGACTTTAGGAAAGTCTGAAGCCTGAGCAGGGTCAGGCCATTCATATGCAAAAGCTGCTGCAAACAGGTTGGGTCGGGCTGCAAATTGGATGGGGCAGGGGTGTAAGACAGGCTGTTGCTGGTACCTAGTCTTGGGCCTTTTATTGATAGGTTTGGGGCATGCTGACACCAGCTGCAGCTTGTATGAAAGATTTTAGCAAAGTCTGAAGCCTGAGCCAGGACAGGACTTTTATATGGAAAAGGTGCTGCAAACAGTTTAGGTGGGGCTGCAAATTGGATGGGGTCTTAGGGAGTCACCAGGTGGAGTAAACAGTGTGCTCCAGGCTGATGGGGACTCAGATATGGTTGCCAGTCAGGCCTGGGACAGGGGAGGTCTCAGCCTAGGAACAATAACCCCTGCCGGCACCTCCGTCTGGTAGAAAGCCATCCCCAAGTTCCTGTCCCAATGCCAGACAATCCAGTTCCTCCCCATATGTGTCTGGTTCCCCCAACGCCTCCAGGCGCTGGAGCTCAGAGGAAGCAAATCTGCATAAGTTGGTGCCAGGGCCCTTTAAGAGGGACACCTGGGTCTCCAGCAGCCTCCGTGTCCCTCAGCCACAATCCCCACTGGTCTTTACAGCCCGAAGTTAGGGGGACTTCTCTTTCCAGCTCTGGGACCCTGGGTGGGGGTGTGGTGTGGGGCTGGGACCCTTTGCTCTTCAGGACGACCTCTGAAGCCCATGTGGGTGCCAGACCAGCCCGCTTGGCACCTCCACCCCTCTTACTAGTCTCAACGTGCTTTCTTCTTTACTTCTCTAGTTATAGGACTTCCATTCAGCCAGCTTTCAGGCAGTCCTGAATGATGGTTGCTCTGTATTTCAGTTGTAATTTTGATGTGGTTGTGGGAGGCGGCGAGTGCCAGCATTTACCTACGCCACCATCTTGGTTCCCCTCCTGAGCTGCTGATTTTTAAGAAATGAAGAGAAAACTGGTTTTGTATTCTCCCCTACCCAATCATTCTACAGAAGTTTTCTTTAAAAGAAGGCATTGCTTCTCTGCTCCCCTCATGCTTCATTATCCACGTCTGGGGCATTTCAGCTCAAGGAGAGAGAAGGTTGTGGGGGCCTCTTGGAGAAACACAGTCTCTGCTCCCTCCTTTCTTACCAACTCCCTTGGAACACAGAACGCCTTCCGTTCACTGGCCTCTTGAAGAGGAAGCTGGATTCTATGTTCCTTGGCGAGAGGCCTGGGGTAGCTTGTGTGTAGCTCAGGGTGGCTGTGTCCAAGCCCTGGCTCACCCACCGGGAGGAAGAGGAGAACCGTAGGAGAGTCAGAGCAGGGCTGGGTTTGTGAGGGTGGACAGGGGTCCTGCGGCAGCCACGGCTTCTCCCTGGTCTGGGGAGGCATTTGGCCGTGGCTTGTCACTTTAAGCCCAAAAGGCCATTTGTACAGAGGACTGTTGATACCAGAGTTGGTTTGGAAATGTGGACTCATGGGGACAGGGTGCTGTGGGTGCGTAGAGGGAAGGCATTTGAAGAGTGTGAGTAGGACAGGCCCTTCTTCTTGCAAAAATGAGGCTAGTGGATTGGCATTTGGAATTCTGCATCTCAGGAATAGCTATGAGGAGGGGCCCTGATTCAGGCACTGGGTGTCCTGTGGTGATTGGGGGATGGGCGCTACAGTCTGGCACACTCTGCCTGGAGAAGGTTCCAGTTCCCAGTCCGGAACCCCTTTGCCTCTTGTTTTTGTTTTTCCCCAGACAGAGCCACCATGGGGACGACAGCCCCAAGGCCTGTCCACCTGCTGCAGCTGTGTGATCAGAAGCTTATGGAGTTTGCGTGCAAAGTGGACACACACTTTGTGTGGCTCAAGGAAATCCAGGAGGAGGCCAGGCGTATGTTCACCAGGTGAGGGCAGGGGTGGGGCAGGCTGGCAGGAGGTACCGGGGCTGCCTGGCTGCTATGGCTTTGGGGAGAAAGCTGCCCATTTCCTGACTGGGCAGGCAAGACAGACAGGCTGCCAGGGGTCTCTCCTGAGTGCTCAGTGTGCTGGGGGCCCGACCTGGTATAATGGGAAGAGGAAGGAGAGGTGTTGGGCTGGGCCTCAGAAGCTGTACCTGCTCCCCTGGCAACCTTGCTCCCCTGCTGTGTCTCTGGGAGGAAGCCCTAAGTGCCTGTCAGGGGACTTGCACGTGGTCTTGGAGAACTCACTTGGTGCTAGTCACCCAAACTTGACCTGTCACTGCTAAGAAATGGGTAGGGGTTGGGCTGGGAAAGGGAGGGTGTCAGTGGTTCCAGCCAGCCACAAATATCACCCTTCTAGTACCAACAGAGAATTCATCAAGGAACCGGAGCTGATGCCCAAAACGCCCTCTCAGAAGAACCGAGGGAAGAAGAGAAAGATTGCTAACATTCAGGATGCAAACAGAAACCACATCCGGAAAAGGTAGGAGGGGCCGGGGGCTGCCACTAGCCAGGGGAGGGTCAGCTGGGCAGATGGAGTCTGGAGGCTTGGTGCCCAGCAAGAGAGTTTGATTCCTAGGTGTGAACTGGGAGCAGAGGCCTGCAGGAGTGGTGGTGGGTGCCATGTGGGCCATGCCGGGGGAAGAATTATTACAGGGAAACAAAGCATGACCCAAGACCTTGGAGTCCAGCGTGTGTGTGTCTGTGTGTGTTGGGGTCGGGGTGGTTTGATTTGGGCCTCGGAGGACGGGAAGGGTTCCCAGAGGTGGGAGAAGAAAGAATCCATGTTTCTGCTTGGGCGAGAGCCACCAGTTGTGGCCCTGGGGGTCTGTTGCTCGGCCCCTGGGCTCTGCTTGTTATGATACCCATGGAAATGACCGTGGGCTGCAGACTACCAGCAAAGGAGGCTGAGTCTTGGGGCAGGAGATCCTGGGTACATACCCCAGCTCTGCCCCTCAAGCTGTATGTCCTTTTGTTAATTTTCCACCTCTCTGAGCCCCAGTTTCTTCAAATCTAAAGTAAGGATGGTCCCTGCCTCTCAGTACCGCACTAGCTTGTAGGTTAAGTGATAACATGAGCAAAGCCTGTAGCGGGGTGCTTGGTACAGTGTGAGCTCAATCAGCAAGAGGTGCTATGGATTTAATCTTCCCAGCAGTGCACTGAGCACTGGCATTATCCCAAAGTTACAGGTTGGGAGACTAAGGCTCAGAGAGGGTGGCCCAGGGTCCCATGGCAAGGGGTGGCAGAGCCTGGGCTAGAACCCTGGTCTTCTGCCTCCAAGCCTTTCACTTTATTTTTATTTTATTATTATTTTTTATTAATATATATATGTATTTTTAAAATATTTTTTATTGAATTTTTACAGAAAGGAGGGAGAAGGATAGAGAGTTAGAAACATCGATGATGAGAGAGAATCATTGATTGGCTGCCTCCTGCACGCCCTCACTGGGAATCAAGCGGCATGTGCCCTTGACTGGAATCGAACCCGGGACCCTTCAGTTCACAGGCCGATCCACTGAGCCGAACCGGCTAGGGCAGCCCTTCACTTTATATTTGACTTGAGCTGGTCTCCCGGCCTCGTTCCCTCCCTCCCTCTTGGACAGTTTTTATAAAGTGCCAGGAACCTCCCAACAACCATCAAGGGCCACGTCCTCCACATTAGTGGGATCGAGCCCAAGCCCCCGTGTGGCGCATGAGCCCCAGCTGTCCCATCACTGGCCATTTCATGCCTCAGGGTCTTCGTACAAGCTGTTCCCTCTGCTGGGGATACCTTTCCCCACATTTGTTCCACCTGGCAGAACGCCACCTCCTCCAAGCAGCCAGCCCTGACTCTTGGAGCTGCCTGTCCTCCTCTGTGGCTCCCACTGGGACCATGGTCCTCTGAGCTGGGATCTGATGATAAAAACTGCTAAAGTGACAGAGCCCTTTGTACATGGCAAACACTCTCCTAAGCGCCCTACGTGGGTTAACGAAAGGAACCCCAGCCCTTTCAGCTGATGCTATTATCACCCCAGCTGACAGACGATGAAGTTCCTGTAGCCTGCCCAGGGCCGCAGGGGAGGTAACTGGATGAACTAGCACTCCAGCCCGGCCAGCTGTCTCCGCAGAGTGGGTTGACTGCGATGACTGTTCACATGCCTTCACCTCAGTATCTACAGACTCAGCAGTTTCACTAACAGGAGTGGCCCACAGACACGGGGAAGCTGAGAGCCCCTGGAGGCAGGAGGAGAGAGGAACCCACTGGCCCTGGGTAGAGGACGCAGGTTCGAGGACGGCATTAACCACAGGGATGCGTGGTCAGCCTCCCTGACCTCGGTTTCCTCGTTGGTAAAACCAGAGGGTTGGCCGAGATGTGCCAGGCCTCCTCTGGGGTCTCTACCCCAGGGGTTGGAGGCGGCCCTCCTGAGGGGACGATGTTGCTGGTGGGCTCACAGTATCTCCTCTGCTTTCAGCCCCGAGGAGGACCCCGGCAAGGCGGCTGAGCCCATGGAGGAGGCTGGGCCTGAGGTAAGGCAGGCAGCCAGGGCGGGATCGAGGGCCTTGGGGCTGGTGCTCTGTGCGGTGAGGCCCAGGGGCAGACTCCTAAAGTCTGATTTTTTTTCTTCTGTTAATTTTCACCCAAGCCGATTTATATTTAAAAATAAAAGTATTTTTCCAATTATTTTTAGAGAGAGTGAAAGAGAGGGAGGGAGAGAGAGAGAGGGAAAGGGGGAGTAATGGGGGAAGGAGAGGGGAAGGGAGAGGGGGAGGGAGAGAGGGGAGAGAGAGAGGGGAGAGAGAGAGACTTTGATGTGAGAGAGACACCTTGATTGGTTGCTTCCCGCACACCCAAGTATGTGCCCTTGACTGGATCAAACCTGAGATCCTTCAGTCTGCAGGCCGATGCTCTATCATCAATAAAACGTGCAGACACCTCGCTGCATGCGGGCCTGTGGCCTCGGTCAGACTTTCTCTCTGGGGAGAGGGAAGCCACATTTTCTGGGTTGATAAGCTGAAGGTAAATGAGACCATCTCCCACCTTTTAGCTGGAGCTGCTGCCAGGTGTCATGTGAGTGGCCATGGCTGGTTGGTGCAGGAAAC